ATCGCTACCTCCCTACATTCGGTATTTTAACGATGTTGGCAAAATTATTTACCGGAATTGTTAAAATTTCATATTTGCACTTCGTAATGGGTACTACCGCCTGCCAGACAATTACAGGTCCACGTCTTCGTATAGACTCCCTATGTACGGTATTTTTAAGATTTTAACAGAATTGATAAAGAATTATTTTTTTATTTTTATTTATATATTTATTTTTTTTTTCTTTTTTTTTTTTAAAATTTCCAAATTTTTACCAAATGGTAGAAGTCTACGACCGGGTATCTTAGGAATAATCCTTATTATCGAGAATGGAATTCATACCGATGCAGAAACGTCTTCACCTTTATTTCATTCATTCGGAACATTTAAAAGGTCTATAGTTTGTTAATGAGTTTTAAAACACCACATATGTTTCGTTCGCTACCGTTTCTCCAAAAAAAATCAATGACTTTTCCTTATTCGGTTATTAAATCACATCAAGTTATTTAACTGAAAACAGTTGTGAAATAATGACGGGTAAATAATAATTTACAAAAAAAGCACTCACTTAAAATCTCATTCACCTTTGAAAACAAAGAAACCTTAAAAGGCGTTATGGATGTAACGGAAGGAGAGAGAGAGAGAGTGAGAGAAAGAGATTCTTTCTTCCTTACAAAAAGTTGCAACAACAGCAACTCGATGTCCGCGGACAAACAAAGAAAGTAGTTTTACAAATACACCAAGCATAGGTATAAAAGTCATCATTGTGTTGATAATAAATAAAACAGACGAACTCTGATGGAGAGGTGAAGAGGATAGACAAACAGACACTTGTTGTGTGCGTGTCACATAGATGAGCCGTTTTATTGTTCATTGTTCGGTAGACGGACAACAACATCACCACTCATTCAATTCCGAAAATGTTGTATCCAATTGGGTATTAACCTCTCCTTTGTTGTCGCCGTCGTCGTTGTAGTCGTCAACACCGTTGTGCATGTGGAGCGCTTCACACTAATTCACAAAAACTTAAACTTGAATAAATAATTTTCTTTTTTTTGTTGTCCAAAATATACGCCATAAACAACTATTGTTTTTGTGTACTTTTTTGTAGAGTTTTGTTTGTTTTTTTTTTTGGTATTCTCACTCAATGTAGAGTATGGGTTGAGGTCACATTTTATTCGGTAATTATCAGTGATCAAGTACATATGAATGTATGAGCCGTGTATGTAGGTAGGTTTGTTAATTAAATAGAAATTTAGTCAGCCTTTGAATTTACCATAAATTTATGATTGAAATCTAGGGAGTGATGACAAATAACTTTCGAATAGGATAATAAGGTGTCATGTGTATTCTTATGCAGGTTTTATGAATTATGATATATTGCAAACTTGGTTTCTCAATATTCAACTTGGCTTTTTCAACAATTTCAAGATAGGCACTATGCAGAAATTTTGTGAATTTTTTTGCTACCTTGACTTAACTTAACTACTTATTTCGATTAGATGGCCTTGTTACACCGTCCACCATAGTATGGGGGTATATCAAGTTTGTCATTCCGTTTGTAATACCTCGAAATATTATAGACCCCACGAAGTATGTATATGCTGGATCAGAATAAAATTCTATGTCGATGTCCGTCCGTCTGTGGAAATCACTCTAGCTTCTGAACGGAATGAAGTAGGTTGATAAAATTTTACTCAAATGTATATTATGTCTGCAGGACTGTTGGTACTGAAAATGGGCCATGTAGGTCTACGTTTTGGTATAGCCCCCATATAATTGTACCTCCCTATTTTCAGTATTTTGGTGATTTAAGCGACATTATTCACCAGAAATGTTTCAAATTTGGTATTTGAATTTCGTAATGGATACTACAGCCTATGACAGAGGATTGTCTGTGTAGGGCCACGTGTTGGTATAGCTCCCATATAATGATACCTCCCTATATTCGGTATACATTATTCACAGATTTTTTTCAAGTTTCGCATTTGAATATTGCGATGGCTTATGACAAAAGTTGCCTATGCAGGTCCACTTCGTCGTAAAGACTCTAAAAAACGGCTACATCGGTATTTTTAATATTCTAAAATAATTTTTTAACGGATTTTATTTTTTTGAAAATTGCCTAATTAGTTCCAAATGGTCGGTTTTGCCAACAGATGTATACGCCCAGCCTTGAGTTATGATTATTCAAACTGTTGACCCTTTATGGGGGAGGTTCCCAAGCACTTGGCCAATATTAACCAATTCGTATCTGACCTAAGACTGATATAAATATTAAAACGTGCCAGATTTAGACTATACGACTACTTCCTATAATTTATATGAGATATGTGCAAATGTTTGAAGAATGTGGAAATATGCGTGAGGTAACAGATATAGCGAACCGGATCATATTACATCTCATACAGCTAACGATATAGGTATCTGCAAAATTTGAAGGAAATCGAACCTTTATATCCAATTTTATGCAAAATCATAAATTTCGATAAATTACATATTCATATTAAATTTCTGGTTAAGACAAAATATATAGACATAGCAAGTTGTTAAGAATTGCCAACTTGTTTCGCAAGTTACGACAGATATAAGTATTGGAAATTGTGACGCTTTGTGGGTGAGGTACCAGAAGGGGTTGGCATATATAGTATATCATCTTTACAATTGATCCTGTGTTAGCAAATATATTTGGATGTGTGTAATTTCAAGAGAAGCGGATGCTTATTTCGCTTTTTGAGCGTTTTGCTTTTTTTCTTCGTAACTGGTTTCATTCCGCTTTTTTGACATATTTTGTGTTATCATTTCAGGGACACCCTATTACATACATTAAATTGTACGTGATGGGAATTATTGTGAAGGTGAAGGCCAATGTGTGTGTGTGTACGTAATCATTTCTACCTGGAACTTACTTATGTGTAATTTGAATGGGTTTAAAATAAATCGTAATTATGGTAATTTAAAGTTGAAGAATTACCCAATCGACACAGCTGGTATGCCTTTTTCGATAAATGATCGTCAGCAAAGGGGGGAAGTGGAGGGCTTAAAGACGTCGAGCTTTATACTTTCTTTGATGTTTTATTTGTTTAGACGACAACCCACTAAACTACTTTATTTTAAGTTTATTGACATATTGTCAAAACGTTTTTTAAGGACCTTTATGTAATCGTACCAAAGAGTTTGATCCATAGTTCCTTTTGATGATCTGCATAGAATCACATTCTGAGTCGATTTATGCATGTCCGTTACTCCGTCTGTCCATGTATATTTGTAAACAAATTACAGGTCGTATTTATTGCCTAATCCAGATGGAAATTTACACAAATCATTTGTTTCACACTAGGACGAACCCTATTGAAATTGGAGATAATCAGTCAAAATGTTGATATAGCTTCCTTATATATCTTTGTCCGATTTGCTTTTTATTTTGCACCAAACGTGTAATATTAGCCCAAATAGTATGGAATTTTACACATGCGGTCAAATTAGGCATGAAAATAAGTGTGCCAAATTTTATTGAAATCGGTTCAGATACAGCTATAGCTCCCATATATATTATACATTAGATTTTTTATTTTTGTCCTCTGCAGCCGTAATATGCACTCTTTAACAACTATATTTGGGGAAATATATCAAATACAGCTCAGAAATGCCTTCGCTAAATATTATCGAGATCGGTTGAGATTTGGATATAGCTCCCATAAATCCTTAAGCGATTTCGGGTCAATTGTACACCAAAGGGCCAATATCAGTCCAAATGTCCTGAATTTGGGCACATCCGAGGGAGTTCAAGAAGCAAGTACATCAAATTTGGCGAAAATCGGTTATAGCTGTAGATCCCATATATATGTTTCATCCGATTTGGGGTTTTAGGTCCCTCACATGCGTAATATGGACTCCACAACAATGATCTTTGGTACTAGATATCAGATACAGCCCTGAAATACCTCTGCCAAATTATATCAAGCTCGGTTCAGATTTAGATATAGCTCCCATATACATCTTTATCCGATTTCAGGTTTATTTTGAACCAAATGGCTAATATTAGCCAAAATATTACTTAAGACGGAATTAAGTCCAGAAGCAGGTACATCAAAAGAAAATCATTTCAGATACAGTCCCTCATATGTCTAATATGCACTCCACAACAAGGATATTTGATACCGGACATTAGATACACCTCGAAAATACCTCTAACAAATTTTATCGAAATCAGTTGAGATTTTTATATACTTCGATATCCGATCATTAACCGATTTTACCGTTATTGTGCACCATATATGTAATATCAGTCCAAATTCGGTGGACTTTTTCATATTCAACCGATTTGTTCCATTTGGTGTGGAACTCAGTCTGGTATATCTATTGCTCCAAAAAATATTTTTGTAATATAATTCTTGTCGAAGTCATATTATGCACTCTACAGCAATATTATTTGGTACTAGGGGTACAGGTACAAAAAGGTTCATTTTTAATATGATCTACTTTCACATAAATTCCCAATATAAACTGTTTTTGTTACGGGAGCTCTACTAAACATGCAAAGTGGTGTAGGGTATCATATAGTCGGCACCACCCGACTTTTGACCTTTCCTTACTGGTTTTTCGATAGACCATAGAGGGAAAATCGGTCATCATAGTAAAAAAAATTCATTCTTGCAGTTCTGGAACAAAGAAACCATAAATTTTGTTGACAAGTGAAATATAGTTCTATTTTTAAATTGTCAACATATATTTTTTAGCCATTTTCATTTAATTAAGATTTTTTAGGAAATAACACTTGTTTATGATGCAATTCCAGGTCATGTTTTTAATATAAAATCGAAAGTTTTTTTGCATTTGATAAACACACAGAAATAACTACCTTTCACAAATATCACTTAGTGTATAATAACATTTATACAGCAGCTTTATTTTATCCCAATACACATCAATTAAAAATTGAATAAAAAAACAAGTTCTTCGATAATTATCAACGTCCAATCAAATGCCCAAGTACAACAAACATATCAGTAGATGATTACCTTCTCAATGTGGTTGGGGAAACACTATCTCTCTCTCTCGCCGGTGGTTTTCGATTCTCTTTCAGTCGTTTACTGGATTATCAATTTTTGTGCATTTGTTTGCAATTTCGTTTGATAAGATTTGAAAAATTCGTAGCTTAACTTAGATTGCCGGCATATGATATAGAAATTAGTTTGCTAATTATAATTTATTTGTAGCGCGTTTCTATTTTCGTTTATTGTTTTCTTTACACACGATCACTCACTCACTCACTGAACGGGTTCCAGTCCCCGACGTAGACATTTAATGACTGAGAACATTTGTCTTTCTGTATTGTCTGTCGTTCGCTGTCAGAAGTTTTGACGACACAAAACAAAATAACCTATGTTCTCATTACAAAGGCAAGACACTAGAAAAAAAAATTCGTTTGTTGTTGTTGCTCTCATTTCATGTGGCTACAAAAGAAAAACTCTTCCATTGCATATTCTTAGAAAAAAAATAAGGGGACAAAGATAAAAAGAGACCAAATTACGTCGATTGCCTTATCACACATACACTCACCCACATACAGATCATGGACAAACAATTCGTTTTTCAATTTTAATAAATGGCAAAACAATGTTCATAGTTTACTATATCAACAAAAGATAACAAAGATATTGAACTTAAAAATTAAATGTTTGCATAGCAAAAACAAATATCAATTTTCCAACCTGTGCATCATTGGCCAGATAATGTAGTTTTTTTTTTTTCATTTAAAGAGCTCTATTTATTACTCATACCACTTCAATTGTTTTCAAAACACATTTAGGTCCTTTAAAAAACCAAACACTTGTTTTTATTTATAACAAACCAATATTCAGATTTTCATATGATTTATATAGTGAAAGTTAATTTTTTAACACTCTATGGGCTTTTTCTTTTTCAAAATATTCACAGATGGCTTAATGTTGTAAAATTTCATAATATTTAAGTAAAAAAACCAAACAACAAATACCACACTCTGATGACCAGCAACAACAATAACTTCTTAGCACACAACCAGCAGCGTATCCAAAAAACCGAATGTTTTTGTTTTTTGTTAATTTTTATTTACGAAACGATAGTCCGCCAACCGCAACAATAATAAAAATTGTCTACCGCGCCAGCGAATGTTTTGTTTGTGACTGACTGAAACTGAAGCGCTTTGGGTTTTTCTTGCTCTTGCTTGACTGAGTGTTGCTCTATTAAATAGGGTATTATTAATACCCAAAAAATGGCCAAACACAAAAAACCATAATAAAAGTTACAAAGGTAAAATCGTAAATTCTACTTTTTAAGAAGAACTTGTTCAGAATTTTGAGAATAACTCTTTCAAAGCGGCAGTCGTTTTATTGTTATTTTTAATTAATGTTGTGGAGATTTTTATTTCTGTCATTATATATAAACCAGTAAGGAAAAGTCAAAAGTAGGATGGGACCGACTATATGATACCCTACACCACTTTACATATTTAGTAGAGCTTCACATAACAAATAAAAGTTTTTTATGGGGAATTTGTAAGAATTAAATTATACCAATTATGATTATTGTTACAGGGTGAGATAAAAAACTGCAACAAAGTCAAACGTCATAATTTTAACTTTTTTTTTCAAAAATTTTTTGAATGAAAGCAAAAAAATGTCGGAAATGCATCAAACTTTAGAATAAGTTTAGATTTGTTCGAATTGGTCACTTTTGGCACGAATTATGGCCTTCAAACGGCCAATGAAACCGCCACACGCTGCCCGAATGTGGCTCTGCGGTATTTTGGTCTATTCCCGGCGAAGCGCTTGCTTGATCCACACTTTGGGATTTTTTAGTGCCAACCTTGCTTTCCAAAATACTCCAGATACAATAGCCCAACGGATTGGTATCCTAAGATTTTGGTGGCCATTGTGCACTGGAAATGAAGCGAGGAACCTCATTTCATAACCAACCTTGGGTGGCGCGTGCTGAGTCCTGTTGGAATGTCGAAGGTCTGCGGCCAAAATGTTTGCGTCCCCAAGGCTTTAATACACCCTCCAGAATATTTTCACGATAATATTCGGCATTTATTCTTATGCCACGGTCGATTAATACGAGCGGAGAGCGACCATCGGCTGCTATGGCGGCCCACACCATCACCATGGCCGGCGCTTGAGTTCTGGTAGCCAGCCGAAGGTGCACATTTTCAGCTGAACTCTTTAGCAAGTAAACACGATCATTGCAAACTGCTGGACAACGAATGTTTTCTCATCGGAAAAAACCAAATTTGGAAGTTCACCACTTTCGGCCAAGCGAAGTAACTCTTTAGCTCTTTTGAGTCTATTTTCTTTCTGTTGCGCTACAATTTTTTGTCTTAGGCTGTAGCATCCATTTCGAACTTCAAATATCTAATTTGAAACAATTCCGTTGAATATTGTCGCAAAAATCATCAAAATACCGTTATAGGGGCTATACGAAGACGTGGACCTACATGGCCCATTTTCAATACCAATAGTCCTGCAGACATAATATACATTTTAGTAAAATTGTATCAATCTACTTCAATTCGTTGGGAAGCTAGAGTGATGTCCACAGACGGACGGACATCGCTAAATCGACATAGAATTTTATGCTGATCGAGGACACATATACTTTGTGGAGTGTAAAATATATATTTCGAGGTGTTACAAACAAAATGACAAACTTAATATACCCTCCATAGTATGGTGGAGGATATAAAAAATGTGGGAACATTTCCGCATCGACATCTCTATAACTTCAATTAAAAATATTTAAGTGGATTACAAAGAGAAAATCAAACTCAAAAATGAGCGACGAGAGAGTCAAACCTGGAGCCAAATCAGATCTTCATACAAAGAAAACAAAAACGCGTTTTAAACCATGCGTGGAACCCATAAAGCTTAATAAATAAGAATTCCAAATGAGCTTTACTGGCAACCAGTACTGGTCGTTATGGATGGATGGTGTGATACAAATGCAATTCAATTAATTTATTTGTTCGATATTCCCTTAAATGGCAATACAGTTTGTCAAATAAATATTTTCAAAGAGAGAAATATTGCATTATTCTAGTTTAGAAGAAAACACAGCTATTTTTTACGTTTTTAACTGATTATAGGACATGTGAGAAAATATGCATATATTTGACCCGAAAATGTGGGTTCTAGTCTTGAATGAACCTAACCGATATAAAAACATCAAAGAATTTTTATTAAACATGAGTTAAATCGAGCCACTTTTAACTTATATGTGGATAAGCCACAGCATAAAACATTTATACGACAAACTGCGCATACCTTTGGAGGCAGGGCAGAACGATAGAAAAATACATACATACCTACACAAAACTGATTTAACCCAATTGTTTGTTTCTTTTTTGTAGCATATCTTGTTTTAAAACACCAACCACATTAATGTTGCTATGGTTGCAGGTTGTAGAACCTACCAAATGACTATTGCACCATTACAATGCACACAATTCCCGGAAATATTTTGAGTACGTTGACTTGATAAACAGGTAGTATAATCTCATTATCCCATTTTCACTTTACATAACACTACTATATTTCTGCTGTCACGCAATCCACGTATTTTGTTTTTTTTTTTAATATATACACTTCAATAGGGATAAATTAATATATATTTTATTATTTTACTCGAGAAACACCAAATAACTTGATCTTCAAAAGTTTCTGTTTACATTTTACAACTACACAACTCAGTCTACCGCACAAGTGCGTTTGTGTTTGTTTGTTTATGAAGAGAAGATAAAAACAATGCAAAGTGCGGTGGATTGATAGCAAAAAAGTGGTGGGAGAAACAACAGCTGTTTTCTTAAGGTATCTAAAAATCGAGTTACTAAAGGGAGATATACTAAGTCTGAATCAAACTATAGTTGTGTTCCAGAACCAAAAACTAGCAAAACTTGCAGCTCTCTCGAGAAAAAAATGGCGCTGAATGGTGCACATTTCTGCTTGTTTTAGCTACATGAATTTGGCCGAGCAGAAATGTGCATATTGTAAATTTGACATTTAATTGGCAGGGCTAACAAGGTTGAAAAATGTATTGATACATTTCAATAAAGAAAATGATCAACTTGAAAACTAAAGGAAAAACTAATATTTGTCGTGCAAAAAACAAAAAGAGAAAATATGGAGCAACTGATGTATTCACTTTTGGATGATTCCAGCAGTGAAGAGGACTGGCTGAATGAGGAATCAGATTAGTAATTATTATTATAAATTATTAATTTTAACTTATCGTCTTCAATACTCATTTTTTAAATGTTGGCGCCCTTGCGCCCTTTTCAGTAAGGTTTCACCAGTCTGGTTTAGGCTGTTTACTTTTGGAATTTTGAATTTTATCGCATTTCTGCTAATTTTCCGTTCCCTTATTTTTTGAGCAAACCTAAATGAGAATGACATTTCGAACTGTTCTCTCTTCTGCTAGTTTTACTACTAAAAAAGTACTGGAACACAACTTATATTTGCATAGGCTAGTTCCATGGTAGAAGAATAAAGGTAGACGCGTCGACGCAGCTGTTGGGACAATGAACTGTCAAACCAATCTTGGAACTGAAAATGATGAATGAAAAATTATTTAAATTTGTAAAAATTGTTTAAAAACGCGAATTATATTAGCCTCCGAACGACGTAGTATAAGAAAACATCTACCTATATTTGAAAAAACATTTACATATTTTTGACATATCAATGCTCCCAAGCGTTGATGCATCTACCTGTATTCTTCTGCCATGGCCAGTTCTTATATCTTTTATTTATTTTATTTATTTATCAACATAAATTAAACGATTTGCGTCTTCCATTTTTTATTTAAATACATTTTGCTGTTATTGCCATATAATCAATATAAAATATGGCAACATGAATTCCGTAAACTTTACGTTAAAAGTCAAAGGGAAGATGATGAAACTTGTTATGAAAAACGACTTATTTGCCAGAAAACATTATCTTTACACCCTCAGCCATATGGCTTGAGGGGGTATATATCATTTGATACGGCCAAAAAGTGCCTCATCGAAATAATAGTTGTATACCCTATGGTCCGTCCGTCTGTCTTTCTGCTTGGCTGGTGCGCACGATAACTCTCGAGGTATCCGAACTTGGTACATCGTAATATTATTGTCAAACTTAGATCGAGTTCGAAGGTGGGCAATATCGGTCCACTCCTTCTGGTACCTCCCACACAAAATGTCAATATTTTAAAAAAGAGAGGCGCAGAAAGAGTGTATAATCCGAGTTTGCTCCAACTTTGCAAATCCTAATATTTGCATCAGTACTAGTTCAGGTGCGAAAGTGCACAATATCAGTCTACTCTATCAAGTACCTCCCCCGCAAAGGGTCAAAATTCGGAAAATTATAGCTGTCATAAAATGTGATTTAAGAGACCAACTGTCTTCAAGTAACACAAACCACAATACTTTTTTCTCTGCTCCAGTACTTGCAAAAATCTACAAACTTTGCAATTTTCTTCATAAAGGGAAAATTGGCTATCGTATTGAAAACCTTAACTTTCTTGCAGTTCTGCAACAGATTACTATTAATCCAAGATCAGGTGTGAATATGGAATATATCGGTCGACTCCTTCTGGTACCTCCCCCAACGATTATAAAATCCGAAATAAGCATCCGGCTCTTAATATTTCACACATTCCATAATTTCTACGAACACAAGATCTGTTGTGAATATGATATGTATCTGCGATCCCCTTCTGCTACCTCAACCACAAAGGAAAATTTTGATTTTTACCCGTATGGATGAAGTATGAAAATTGAATACTTCGGTCGACTGTATCTGGTACACGCACATTTTAACATAGAACAAAGGAACGTAGGGTCAAAATCGAACTAAGTCAACCTAGAACTCATTTTGTTATTTTACGAAGAAGACAGCCAAAGGCATAAGCCAGCCAAAAAAGTGATTTATGTATTCTCACCTTTAATCCTAAATAGTATAAATCCATGGTATAAATCATGGCAGAAGAATACAGGTAGATGCATCAACGCTTGGGAGCATTGATATGTCAAAAAACTTTAAATGTTTTTTTCAAATATAAGTAGATTTTTATATACTTTCATATACTACGTCATTCGGAGGCTATTATAATTCGCGTTTTCAACAATTTTTACAAATTTAAATAATTTTTCATTCAACATTTTCAATTTCAAAATTGGTTTAAAGCTGGGAATACATAAAGCGCTTATTTGACTGGCTTAAGTCATCGGCTGGCTTCTTCGTAGAGGAACAAAGGAGTTTTAGGTTGACTTAGCTCAATTTTAACCCTAGGCTCCTCTGTTCATTTCCGAAGAAGCCTAAGTCATCGGCTGGCTCCCTCCCATCGGCTGGCTCCCAGCCAAATAAGCGCTTTATGTATTCCCAGCTTAACAGTTCATTGTCCAAGCAGCTGTGTCGACGCGTCTACCTATATTCTTCTACCATGGTATAAATGCGCAATATACATTGCGCAGTGAACCCTATCAAATCTTATAGTGTGAACCCCTAACCAGCTGATCTCATCCCTCATTTGTCTTTTCTCATTCGTCAACAAAGTTTTTATTATTCTTTTACCTTAATTCGTTGTCGTTGATTATACCTCTTCCATCATTCATTCATTGTGTTTGGTTTGCTTTGCTTGTCTTGTTTGGCGTGAGTGGGAATTTTGTTTGAAAGGCAGCTATTTTATTAGAAAAAAAAAAAAATAAAATTTACGAAAGCATTTAGCGACTTTATAAAATAACCAACAACGAAAATCTAAATTTGACACGAGCTATGGATGAAATGCAAATTGAGAACAACGCTCAAATTGAGGGAAGTGATGGCACTGCTGGAAGTGCGGTTGGTGGAGGAAGTGAGAAGAGAACTGAAGAGAAAGCCGGCAATTGTTATTGGTAAACAAAACATTAAACATTTGTAAACAGACAAACATTTGAGGCATTTGGTTTTTAATTTTGTTACATTTTTCAGTGGCAAGGAACGTAATCTGAATATTGTGGAACTATTATGTGCCTATTGCAGTCGTTGGTTTCACGAGTCATGCATTGGCTACCAATTGGGTAAGCTGGTACCGTTTATAACAAACTATGTGTTTGTTTGCAAAAACTGTTCACCGAGTGGATTGGAAAATTTTCGTAGATCTCAAGCCAGTAAGATGCAGTTAAATATAAAATAACGTTAAATATGTTAATTTAATTATATTTTTGTTACTTTTATCATAGCCATACCCCAAATGTGCATCACTGCCATTGCCAATATGCGTAACAACAGCAGCAAAGAAGGCAAACCGAAAAACCTATTCAGCAAAGACAAAGAAATAATACCCTTCCTGGAACAGTATTGGGAATCAATGACTACAATGCCGCGCAGAGTTACCCAGTCGTGGTATTCAACGGTACAACGTTCCTTACTAAAAGATGTTCAAATTACCTTCACCTACGAGGAACATCCCGAGCATGGCGCCATGTTTGGTCTGATGATGCCGGATTTGTCACAAATCAAACCAAATTATGAGGCAATGACAAAAATGGGTGCTTTGAGATTAACCGAAGATGGTTATGCACAAGGTAAGTTTTAAATGTAATTCGACCTGTTTTAACATATACCATGAACAGGTCAAATTTGGAGATCCGGTGGTCTCGATTAATTTTGAAATAGTATACACAAGTTGATCCTATGACACAAGCAATAATGTTTGAGAAGAACATTAGAGTTTTTTTCATAAATAACTTATGTCTTTCGTTTGATAACATGGACATCTGCTTAGTAAGTGTTCAATCGTCTCTACCTCTGATTTATCCCCATATAGTCCACATGGGTCTTGACTTGACTGTTATCCCATTTGGAGGTCAGATACAGCAGTGCCCAGTCTATAGATATTCGTAAATCAGACCAACTGATTGATAGAATGAGACAAATTCTTCTGAAGATTATGTGCGAAAAGTTAGCCCGGCATGTGATATAGACCCGCACACTTCTTCAATTGCCTTGCCAAACCTACCCCACTCACTCCAGAAGATCTTTGGTTTTAGCCAACGAAAGTTCCCGAATTTTTGCATCTGGAGTTAGAATTGGATTAGAAGAAATCAAACAAAAATGTGAAGCTGTTGCAACAACAACTACAAGAATATGCTGGGTTGACGGCCCCTGGTCGAAGGTCTATCTTTGAATGCACAGGTCAACGTTGTTGTACGACCACGACGACTTGACGACCACCTTAATGAGAAGGCGAAGGTCTTATTGGTGCGACACCAAAATAAAATGCCATCAATGTAATACCTGCTTGGGTCTTAATAACGGAGTCATCCGAATCTCCATCTGGTGGATAGGCAACATCCGCCCAGGCACGTAACGAAAGACTTTCCTGATCCAAAGAGAGAGGTACAGTGGTGTAAGAGAGAGCCTCTAGATCATCCGGCCTATCAAGCGGGACTGATTAGTATTCACTCTAACGCGGTCTTAGAAGTCTTGGAATGATATAGAGTGAATACTGTACTAGGAGACCATCCCCCTACCATTACAACTGAAGTGCGAGAGCTGCACCGACAAACCCGAGCAGTTTTGGCTCAATTATGAACCGGATGACGCAGCCGCCTCAATTCCTATTGGGCGTCTAATAGTTGCATTAGAGCAGAATACGCCAGCACAGTGTCTTCAACCATCTTGGAGACGATTGTGTATATGGCCGGACCGTCGAGAGCAGTTTTACCACCAACCCAAGCGTCCCTATCAAGATTCGTTACGCCAAGACAATTGAAGGTGGGCTGTCCTACTAAATTTTTTAACCTTCATCTAAGATATTCCGACTTTTTTGGTATGTCCACGATTATTGAATTCACATTTGTTTCCGATCCTACTATTCCAGAATGCCTGCTCCGGATTCTTTTGGTGCGTGCCGAGATCGAAAAAACTCGGACATGGTTTCTTCTCCGTTTATCAGAACGTCATCCCACAAAGATCTATTTTCACCGATTCTATGTATTATTATACCCTCAGCCATATGGCTAAAGAGGGTATACATCATTTGATACGAAAACATGCCTCATCGACTTAACGGTTTTAGACTCTAGGTCTCTTCAGAACAAATCCGTTTCAGGACATTTGGAGTTGATCTAGCGATGTCCGTCCGTCTGTCTGGCTGGAGCGCACGATAACTCTCGAAGAAATTATCCGATTTGATCCAAACTTGTTACATCGTAATATTATTATCAAACTTAGATCAAGTTGCGATTTTAGCAATATCGATCTACTTCTTGTGGTACCTACACCCGAAAAATGTCAACATTTTTAAAGAAAATAATTTACTGCACAGAAAGAGGAAGGATAATCCGATTTTGCTCCTACTTTGCAAATCCTAATATTTGCATCAGTGCTGGGTCAGGTGCGAAAATGGACAATATCGGTCCACTCCATCAAGTACCTCCCCCACAAAGGGTCAACATTTTGAATATTAAAGAAGCTCATAAAACACGAAATTAACATCCGATTCCATTCAGACTTGGCACATCTCCATACTTCCGTCAACACAAAATATGTTATAACGATGGCAAAGTTCGGATCATTCCTTCTGGTACTTCCCCCTCAAAGGGTCACACCAAAACGATAATAAAATCCGAAAGAAGCATCCGAGTCTCTTCATATTTCACTCATACCATTATTTCTACTAAGATCTGCGGTGAAGATGGAATATATCAATCCACTCTTGCTGGTACCTCTCCCACAAAGGGTCAAAATTTTCAATAACCATGACGCTCATAAAACGCGAAATTAACATCCGATTCCTTGGTACGTCTTAATATTTCCATCAACTCAAAATCTGTTGTAAAGATAGTAGAGATCGGGCCATTCCTGTTGGTACCTCCCCCACAAAGAGTCAAAATTTTGAATAACCAAAACGATTATAAAATCCGAAATAATCATCTGAGTCTTTTCATATTTCACTCATACCATTATTTATACTAACATAAGATCTGCTGTGAAGATGGAATATATCGGACGCCTCCTTCTGGTACCGCCCCCCACAAAGGTTCAAAAATTTTGAATAGCCATGAAGCTCATTAACATCCGATTCCATTTAGACTTGGTACATCTCAATATTTCCATAAGCACGAGATCTCTTATAAAGATGTTAGAGATCGGACCATTTCTTCTGGTACCTACTCCACATGGGGTTTAAGACAAAACGCTCAAAGAAAGCAAAATAAGCATCCAAATCTCTTTAAATTTCACCTATCCAAGTATTTTTTCTAACGCAAAATCTGTTGTGAAGCTGATACCTGGTACCTATCCCACAAAGGGTCTCAATTTCCAATGCTTATATCTGTCATAACATCCTAAATAAGTCGACGATTCTGTACAACTTTCTACATCTAAATATTTCTCTTAACCAGAAATCTGATATGAATATGTAATTGATCGGAATTTATGATTTCGCATAAAATTGGATATAAATGTTCGATTTTCTCCAAAATTACCCCTTCCCATTTTTTTTATCTGTATTAGATGAAGTATGAAAATGGAATACTTCGGTCCACTATAACTGTTACCTCACGCATATTTCCACTTTTTTTAAAAATTGGCCCCTATCTCATATAAACTATGGGAAGTAGTCGATAATTAGTCAATATTGGCCAACTTCTTCGGAACCTCCCCCATTAAGGATCAACACTTTGAATAATCATAACTAAAGGCTGGGGGTATAAATCTGTCGGCCAAACCGATTACTTGTTTTGTATGTTTGTGAGTTTGATGCAATTTGTCGAATACTTTTTTCGATTACTGTTGGGATCTATTTGACCATGCATATGTATGTCGATATGTGAAATATTTTTGCCTTTCTTTCTTTTTTTTGTTTTTGTTTTGCTGAATCTTTAAAACTTGATCTCTCAATTGAATATGAAGTGAGTTGTGTTTGTGTGAGTAGTAGATACTTTTTCTTCTGCTTCATGCCTACGTGACTCTAATTAAAATAGGGGAAATACCTCTTGTTATCTAAAACAATAAATATTATGATGTCACTATCCGGTTGGAGTGGGGATACTCTTCTTTTTATGTTTCGAAACTTTCTTAATATCATTAGATTAGATCTAGCTCCAATTGAATACCCATCGAGTCATAGCCCTCGCCAATTGTGTGAGCTCAACAAACGAATAATTTTATCTTCTGCTTACTTGGAACGCAGTTAACGCAGAACAACAAACCCCCCTACTGGACAGCAAACACCAAACTAAACTGAGAGATTTTGTATCTGACAACAACCAGCCATACTTGCATACTTTAATGACGTAGCTTCTCGGTTACGACGCAGTTGCGAATGTATTTTGTGTTTGCTGTTTTGATTTTGATTTCTTGGGGTTTGATAGCCCCAACGGCAGCTCCTCTATTGTGTTTTGCTTTGCCATTCTATGGCATAGCTGCCGTCCGTCACTCATTGTTGCTGGTGCCGCTACTGCTGTGTATTTTTTTTTTTTTTTTGCTGGCTGACTGTTTGACACCATATAATTTAGTTGGCGAATTTTTTCGTTGTTTTATATTCGATTCGATAGTAGAGTATCGTACCGCGCCCGCCTCCATCTCCACCTCCTTGGCCGCTGCCACCAGCGATCTCTCTATCTTTCCGTTCGCCTCATACACATGTAGTTAATGTTGTATTGTATTGTGTTTGTTTGTTTTACAAATATTAATTGTTATTTTCATTTGCGGTTTCGTTTTTTGTTTTGTTGTTTGCCTGCCTGCCTGCCTGCCTTGCTTGGCCACAAAGTGATGTACACACAAACCTCCTAACTACTTCCCGGAGATTAAACCATATAGCTTTTACAAATTGTCAAAAAATTCTTCGCACCAACTACATCGGGGGATAGTCCTAAAGTTGCAGTCACAAAATTTTCCAATATTTCCACGGACCACTTGAAGTTCTCGGATTCGTGTCACAACGATTGTGAATTTCTTCTCTGTTGCTTTGCATTTTGGGGTGGAGAGATGGAGCAGTAGCATGTCATCGTAGGTCGTTTCAAACAGTTATTGTTTTGTTATTGTTGTTGTTGGTTGGGTGTGCTGTCGTCACTGACATGCACTCATCGCAGTTGGTGTTGTACGCTAATGGTGGTGTTGCTGTGGAATTTATCTTGAAAATACTTAAAAAACTCGCTGTGCTGTAGTTGTTGTTCTGTGCTTTGTGACGACTCGAAAAGCTGCTGCTGCTGCTGCTGACTGCCTGTCGTATCGTTCATTGCGATTTGCTGAATTTGTTCTAGTGGCCTTTCCATTTTGTCGAGCAGCAAATGATGTGATTAATCCAACTTTAGATCTGATTTTTTTTTTGCTTTTTTTGAAAATACCATTTGTACCTGATCAAAAAAAAAACCTCCCCCTCCAAGAAATTAAGACGTAAAACACAAAATCAACATGGATTTTGCAGTGACCCGTGAGGAGGAACGTACGTAATAGCTAGGCATAGCAATTTAAACAAAACAAACGCAGAAAAAAAAGAAATGGGGTGTTGCTGGGATTTTTATGCTGGGGCCACTCCATAGCCATAGCAATGCCCCTCTTGACACGTAGACATTTATTTAATGATATGCTTATGTGTTGTTTTTGTTTTTTTTAGCTTCCCTCTCGAAGAACAATCGCCAGAATAAACGGAAATTCCCCGGCACCGATTCTGGTCCGACAGGCAAAAAAGGTCGCCCCAGTTCAGATATTACAGCCAACGTCAAATTACCCGCCCATGGTTACCCGCTGGAGCATCCATTCAATAAAGATGGCTATCGTTACATACTTGCTGAACCAGATCCCCATGCTCCGTTTCGTCAGGAATTCGATGAATCATCCGATTGGGCTGGCAAACCCATACCGGGTTGGCTGTATCGTACATTAGTACCGAACAGTGTCCTACTGGCTCTGCATGATCGTGCCCCACAATTGAAAATATCCGAAGATCGATTGGCTGTAACTGGAGAAAAGGGTTATTGCATGGTGAGGGCAACACATTGTAAGTATCGACATATACCTATGGGAAATACAAAAACAAAAGAAAAAAGAAACAAAGAAAACAACAATAATCACAGTCAATAAATTAATCAGCTGATAGCTACACAAGACTACAAACGGGAGATAAAGGGTGAAACAAATTTAGTTTAGCAACTACTTTTGGAATTTAGTATTGTCACTGGAATCTGTTTATTTTCCGGTTTCTATGCAACTACATGCAGTACAAAGATCTGGAATTAACCTCCTCATTGCATAAAATATGGAAAATGAAAACTATCAAATATTATCATTTTATCGTGCTACTGATGGAATTAGGTAAAAAAAAACCAGTAAGGAAAAGTCAAAAGTCGGACGGGTCCGACTATATGATACCCTACACCACTATGCATATTTAGTAGAGTTCCCGTAACAGAAGAATTTATTTGAAGTAGAACATAACACCTATCCACACTTGGCTTTAGAGCAGTTATAGTGTGGTTTCAGAGGGAACTAATATAGGGGAGACATATCAAATTCTGAATCGATTTTCAGTAAATTGGACGGATACATTTTAATATTTTATGCCAACTAACATTGCTATAAAGTGCATGATAACAATTCGGGAAGGATTATATAAAAAAATATATATCGGAACCGAATTGCACAAAATGGAAACGTACGTCCCGAAATTCACTCTATTTGCGCTGATATTAGCCATTATTTGCACAATAAACCTGCAATCGGATTAGGAGGAGCTATATCTAAGTCTGAGCCCGACTCGATAAAATTTGGCAGAGGTATTTCCGAGCCCTATAAGATATCTGGTAAGAAATATCATCGTTGTTACGAATTTGTGGAACTTAAACACCAAATCGGACGAAACATATATATGGGAGATATAACTATATATGAACCGATTTTCTCCAAATTTGATGTACCTGCTTCTAGACTGAATTCGTTCGGATGTATCAAGATTCAGGACTTTTGGGCTGATATTGGCTATTTGGTGCACAATTAACCCAAAATCGGATGAAGATATATATGGGAGCTGTATCCAAATGAGAACCGATCTTGATATCATCTAGCAGAGATATTTCTGGGCTGTATCTGATATATAATACCAAATATCATTTTTGTCGAATGGTTATTACGAATGTGAGGGACTTAAACATCAAATCGTACGAAACATATATATGGGAGCTATAGCTATATCTGAATCGATTTTCTTCAAATTTGATGTACCTGCTTCTAGACTGAATTTGGTCGGATGCACCAAAATTTAGGATTTTTGGACAGATGTTGACCATTTGGTGCACAATTAACCCGAAATCGGTTGAAGATACATGTATGTGGGATCTATATCCAAATCAGATGTTGATAATATTTAGCAGAGGTATTTGCGAGCTCTATAAGATATCTGGTACCAAATTCATTGTAATCGAATGGATATTACGAATGTGAGGGACTTAAATACCATATCGGATGAAACATATATATGGGAGCTATAGTTATATTTGAACCAATTTTTTTCTAAATTTGATGTACTTGCTTCTAGACTGAATTCGGTCAGATGTACCAAAATTCAGGACTTTTGGACTGATATTGGCCACTTGGTAGACAATTAACCCGAAATCGGTTGAATATACAGGGTGAGATAAAAAAAACCTGCAACAAAGTCAAACGCCAATTTTTATTGAATGAAAGCAAAAATATCGGAAATAGCATCAAATTTTAAAATAAGTTTAGATTTGTTCGAATTAGTCACCTTAGGCACAAATTATGGCCTTCAAACGGTCAGTGAAATCGTCACACGCTGCCCGAATGTTGCTCTGAGGTATTTTGGCCCATTCCCGGCGAAGCGCTTGCTTGAGGTGATCGACACTTTGGTATTTTTTAGGGCCAACCTTGCTTTCCAAAATACTCCTGACATCCGGAGAATTTGGTGGCCATTGTGCGCTGGAAATGAAGCGAGGAACCTCATTTTGTAACCATTTTTGGATGTCGCGTGCTGAGAGCGATGTTGCTGAGTCCTGTTGGAATGTCCAAGCGGCCAAAATGATTGCTTGCCCAAGGCCTTAATACACCTTCCAGAATATTTTCGTGATAATATTCGGTATTTATTCTGATGCCACGGTCGATTAATACGAGCGGAGAGCTATCTTTTTTTCTGGAAAATTCCCACCAAAATGCTTTTGTACGCTTGTAAACAATATAATGAACTGTCGCTGGAATAATTTTAAAAAATGTCGGACGAGTGGCTTAGAAATGAAAGTCTGAAGTTTCTATAGGTTTCGTCCTTGGGCCAAACAAATATTGTTTGGAAACTTTCATCTCAATCGGATAATAAATGCGATCTGCGTTTTTTTTTTTCACAAAAATACATGGACAGACGGACGGACAGATGGGCTGACATGCCCATCGACATATGTCGACTCAGAAAGTGATTCTATGAAGATCCTCAAAAGTAACTATTGGTCTATCTCGCTTTCTTCTCCATGTTACAATCAAATGCTCAAAGGCATAATACCCTTACCACTGGTGTAGAGTATAAAAATAAGGTCCATATTAACAAACCAAACAAAAATACTTCAATTTTCCTAAATTTCATATCTTTTAAATGAAACATGATCTTCCTTTTCTTATTTTCAGCTGTTAATCGTGGCCGATGGTATTACGAGGTTACAATAGAAGAAATGCCCGAAGGATCGGCAACACGCATGGGTTGGGGCCAAGAATATGGTAACCTGCAAGCTCCATTGGGCTATGACAAATTCGGCTACTCATGGCGATCACGCAAGGGGACACGTTTCAGCGAAAGCCATGGCAAACATTACAGTGAGGCCTATGTCGAGGGAGATACATTGGGATTTTTAATTGATCTTCCGGAGGAAAGAGAAGTGGATTATTTACCAAATACATTTAAGGATAGGGTAATTTCGAATTTTTCATAATAATATATTTGCTCTGTTCCAGAACCTACAAAAATCTACTAGTTTTATAAATTTTTGTTTCGATATCATAAAGGGAAAATCGGCTGTCGTAGTAAAACTTTTACATTCCTGCAGTTCTGGAACAGACAAATTTTTTATAAATAATTAAAATGGTTTTTTGTTTGCCTTTACAGCCTTTGGTGAAATTTAAATCACATTTATACTATGAGGATAAGGATAAAATCCAGGAAACGCTAAAAGGTTTACGCGTAGCTCCCGGCAGTAAAATCGAATTCTTCAAAAATGGCCAATCTCAAGGTGTGGCATTTAGTGATATCTATGCTGGCTCATACTATCCCACAATATCAATACACAAGAGTGCAACAGTTAGTGTTAATTTTGGACCAAGCTTTAAATATCCCGAGGTGCTAAACAATTGCAAAGCCAAAGGGGTAAGTTGTCAATAGATTAATTGATAAATGTTGTCAGATAAAAAAATGATTTATCCTCCCTTTCCAGATGTATGAACGTGTTGAGGAACTTATTTGTGAACAGTCCCTGTCTGATTTATTATATTTAACAGAGAATGAGGGTAGATTACGCTTGGATAATTTTAATATATAGACGTAAGTTGACCGAGTCATTATTTAAGAATAAAAGAAGAAAAGAAAGAAACAACAAGTTATTGTTAAAATGGAGTTTCCTGTGTTTGTATGGATGTATCATAGAGGAGAGATATTCTAGATAAGGTATTCCGTCACAGCAATAATGCGAAATCATTTCTAGAATAATGTACATAAAATTTCCAGGAATCACATAAACTACCCGCATAACATTTTAGCATTACATCTGTTTGTATACCTCAGCCATAGGGCTATAGAGGTCCATATCATTTGATATGGCCAAAACGTCCCTCATCGAAATAACGGTTTTAGACCCTAGGTCTATTTGGACCAAATCCGTTTCTGGACAGTTAGAGTCGATCTAGCGATGTCCGTCCGGCCGTCTGTCTGTATGGCTGGCTGTTGCGCACGATAACTCTCGACGGGAGCATCCGATTTGATCCAAAATTGGTATATCGTAATATCGAGTTTGCTCCAACTTTGAAAATCCTAATATTTGCATCAGTGCTAGGTCAAATGCGAAAATGGACAATATCCGTCCACTCCATCAAGTACCTCCTCCACAAAGGGCCAACATTTTGAATAACTATATCTCTTATAAAATGTGATGTAAGTGTCCGATTGTCTTCAAATTACACACATCGCAATTTTTTTATTACCCCAAGGTCTGATGTGAAGACGGAATACATCGGTCCACTTCATCTAGTACCTCCAATATAAACAAAACGATTATAAAATACGAAATAAGCATCCGGATCTCTTCAAATTACACACATCACAATATTTTTATTAATCCAAGGTCTGGTGTGAATATCGGTCCACTCCCTCTGGTCCACTCCTTCTGGAAAACCACAAGTGGCTACCGTTAGAGCACTCCATGTGAATAAATATTTCTGTCTCGTATCATCGCTCGTTACCGTTATACTGGGAGAGTAGCCCGACGTCATGGAAGTGGACGGAAGAGCAACGTAACAGCAACATCAGCAAAAATGGTTGGAAAAGTAAAAAAGCGACTTGATCGAAACCCGCATCGCAGTGGTCGAAAAATGGCTCGTGAGCTTAACATAGGCAATATTCCATTCGGCAAATATTGAAAAATGAGCTCGGGATAAAGCCATTGAAATTCTAAAAAGTGCAAGAACATACACCGCAACAGAAAGAAAATATACTCAAAAGACCTGAAGAGTTGCTTCGCTTGGCCGAAAGTGGTGAACTGCCGAGTTTGGTTTTCTCCGTCTCCGATGATACCAATCCGTTGGTCTATTGTGTCTGAAGTATTTTGGAAAGCAAGGTTGGCACTAAAAAATACCCAAGTGTCGATCACCTCATGCAAGCGCTTCGCCGGGAATGGACCGAAATACCGCAAAGCAACATTCGGGCAGCGTGTGACGGCCGTTTGAAGGCCATAATGTGCCAAACGTGACCAATTCGAACAAATCCAAACTTATTCTAAACTGTTATGCTATTTCCGACATTTTTGCTTTCATTTAATAAAATTTAAAAAAATGTAAAAATTATGGCGTTTGACTTTGTTGCAGTTTTTTTATTTCACCCTGTATACCTGCCAACCCCTTTTGGTACCTCACCCACAAAGGGTCGCAATTTCTAATACTTATATCTGTCACAACTTGCGAAATAAGTCGAAGCTTCTTTACTACTAGCTATATCTAAATATTTTTCTTAACCAGAAATCTGATATGAATATTTAATTTATTTGAATTTATGATTTCGCATAAAATATATAAGATATAAATGTTCGGCGGCACTTACCAATATTTTTATAAGTATTAGATGAAGTATGAAAATGGAATACTTCGGTCTAATACCTCACGCTTATTTCCACATTTTACAAAAATTAGGAAGTAGTCGAAATAGTCCAAATCTGGCACGTTGCAATATTTTTATCAGTCTTAGGTCAGATACGAAATGGTCAATATTTGCCAAATGCTTTGGAACCTCCCCCATAAAGGATCAACAGTGTGAATAATCATAACTAATGGCTGGGGGTATACATCTGTCACCAAAACCGACTGATACTCTTTTTCTTTTTTTTCTCTCAATCTCTCTCCTTTTGGTCTTTATTAAATAATTCTTTTTTTAATACATTTTACTGTACAAAAATAATTGTATTCACATCCATTCATATATAGTAAGTATTATTTCTAAATTAAAAACAACTCGAAAATCAAATTTATTTAAAAGCATGGAATTTTGAGGCACTATACGGTAAATAAAATACATTAAATGTTGATCTCGGATGATATGTTGGTACTGCTGCCGAGATCGATCTTCCCGAATTCGATGTGTTGTTGTTGGTCGTTTGTGTCGACGACGCTGTTGTCGAAGGATCATTAAATTTATCACGTTTTATTGTCGTTGACTGATATGTTTTATACATATTGGCATTTGTTCGTCTAAAGTGTTCCCTTGTGCTGGACGGTGTTGTTGTGTTCACATCGCTAGAATTCGAAATGGTCATGGGTTGTGAGTTATATTGTTGGATTATCTGCTGGCGTGATGAAATTGAAGGTAAAATAATTGAATTGCGATTATTGAAGAATCTATTGGCTGCCAAGGGGACATGCCACGCAGATCTATGTCCGGCATTGAATCTTGATCTTCCATTTTGATCTTGTGTAATGACAGCAGATTTAGCTTGTTGGACATGGGTTAACTGCACAAAGCTGGGATTGACTTGGTGTCGTCCAAGGTTACGAAATTTCCGCGTCGATTCTAAAACATTTAAAATCGGAGGCATACGCAAACGTTGCTGATGACTGCTTGTCGTTGGCTGGGCAATAGGAACGTTGGTTGGTGTTGGCGGTGAAAACGATGAAGAAGAGCTGGTGGCACATTTTCGTTTATTTCCCGGATTTTGTGTATTTTCTCTTTCATTGAGCTTTAAAGGCACTGTGGTCAAGGTGAAGTTTTTCAGTAAGCTGTTAATTTCATTGCTCTCATCTGAGGTTTTCCTAAAAGCTGGCCGATAATTTTGGGGCACAGCCGAGTCTTCATGTTTTATTTGTCTACCCCTGGTAAGTGTAATATCATCATCCATTTCACCCTCATCCGAACTGCTTATATTCAAACTTGGCAACGATTCCAGTGTATCCGAACTCAGGGCTTTTATTCGATATGCACTCGCCTTACGTCCCATTAACTTGGGAAACTTTTTCTGCCAATCTAAAATTTCCTTTCGCAAATCCTCATCGGCTGGTAAATCTTCTGTGCCGGCTAACATATTTTCCACTTTTTCCCATTCCAGTTGATTCAATCGAATTGCATCGTCGTTCCATGGTATTGAACCTATACTGCCACGGTCAATGCTACTCGACGACGTATAAGGCACTTCCTGCAAATATTCATCGTCTTCGTCGTTGGCAAATAAACCATCATCCTCGTCATCATCGAAACTGGGTGAATGCAGGACTTTTGGTTTTTTATAAAATTCCAAGGCGGAGGTCATCTCTTTTATATTCAAGTCAAGTAAATTTGGAAAATTGTGTCTTTCTACTGCAATTAATCACTTGTTTCCAATTTTAATTTATTCCCATATGAAAAGGAAGTTCTTACTCTCAAATATGACCTCTCTCTCTCCCAATGTCCTTGCAAACATTTTATAACGGTTGTATTTTTTTAGTACTATGGTTTCAGTTAGTAGTTGGCAACACGCATTTGTCTTGATTGGCAATACTTGTTGATTCTGATTAATTGCTCAAATGTCAAATTAATGTGAGGATGATTTTTTAGCTATTTTTGATGATAGGGGTTTATAAAGCTCACGTACGTTTCGTGTCTTGTTTCACTGTCAAGCAACATCAGTTTGGTCTAAAATGTATCCATGAATCATTTTACAGACGAACGCTTGCAAATCATTGGATTTTATTATCAAAATGCGTGCTGCGTTAGAAAGCACCATGGTAGAAGAAGATAGGTATATGCATCAACGCTTGGGAACATTGATATGTCAAAATTAAGTAGATTTTTATATGTTTTCTCATACGACACATATCGGAGGTTGTAATGATATCAACTTTCAACAATTTTAAATAATTTTTCATTCAAGATTTTCAATTCCAAAATCGGTTTGACAGTTCATTGTCAGCTGTGTCGATGCGACTACCTGTATTATTGTACCATGGAAAGTAAATAGTGCTCTTCTTCCCATTTATGACCAGTTTAAACGACCCTCATTCAGATTTTTCAATTTTAGAGAAAAAATTAGCTAGAACAAGTAAAGCTGTTAGTTCTGCCGGGCCGAACATTGAATACTCTCGACCATTTGGAGCAAATTTAGCAATTTTCAAAAAAAAAAAATTAAAATCCGTTAAAAATGTTTTTTTAATTAAAAATATCGAATGTAGCCATTATATTAGGGTCTATACGACGACGTGGACCTGCATAGGCAATTTTTGTCATAAGCCATTACAATTTTCAAATGCGAAACTTGAAAGAAAAAAAAATCGGCGAATAATGTAAATAAATTCATCAAAATTCCGAATATAGGGAGATACCATTAATGGGGTCTATAGGACGACTTGGACCTGCATAGGCAATTTTTGTCGCAAACCATTGCAATATTCAAATGCAAAACTTGAACAAAAATCCGGGAATAATGTCGATAAAATCATCAAAATGCCGAACATCGGGATGTACCATTATATGGGGGCTGTACCAAAACATGGACCTGCACAGACAATTTTCTGTCTTAGGCTGTAGTATCCATTAGGAACTTTAAATACCAAATTTGAAACATTACCGGTGAATAATGTTGCTTAAATCACCAAAATACCGAAATATGGGGGCCATACCAAAATGTGGACCTACATGGCCCATTTTCAGTACCAAAAGTCCTGCAGACACAATATACATTTAAGTCAAATTTTATCAATCTATTTCATTTTGTTCGGAAGCTACTTCCTTCAAACATTTAATTATATGGATCGTATTATTCATTTAAATAAAAATTCTATGCATTTTTATGAATTTTATCTATTTTTTATTTTTCTATAGATCTTAACAATTTATAGAATAATATATTTTTTCTACAAAATATCTTAAACCTACAAAAATGTACTTTATTCCGGTAAAATTTTATTAATTTTCTGTATAAATATTGTCAAAAATCTCTCTCTCAATTCTTATTTTTATGTCCCATTCTTTTGCAATAAAATTTCATGAAAATTATCACAAAATACCAAAGACGCAGACACACTTATTGCCAATGATTGGAGACAGACTGCAAGTATTGCCAACTAAAAAATGTCATACGTCCGCATTGAAGTTTCAACCGTACATTGACATATTAGCCGGCCGCCGGCGTCTTGCTAAATACACTTTAGCTTGGTTCTCTTCGAATTATAACTCCGTCTGGACGTCTCGTTCCTTTTATTTCTTGGTTGAATAAAATATTAAAAAAAATGTTTTAATACAATTTTGTTAAATACTATAAGTAATTGAATATAAGAGTTTACTGTGTAAATAGAAATAAATAACATTTTAAGGATGTGGCACGAAGCCCGCAAGCAAGAGCGTAAGATAAGAGGTCTCATTGTTGATTACAGACGCCGGGCAGAGCGCAGGCAGGATTTTTATGAGAAAATTGTAAGTGGACCACGGATAAAATGAAAAAGTGTAATATGTAATGGAATTATTTGATTTTAATTGTGGAATTTTTATTGCACTTTACAGCAAGCTGATCCAACACAATTTATACAGATACATGGAAGAAGATGTAAAATTCATTTAGATCCAGCCGTGGCCAGCGCTGGAGATGGTGCCGCAATCATGCAAGTGATATTGAATTCATAAGTTTTCATTATAATATCTCGTTTTTCTAGTTTCCCCTAGGGGTAGCAAAGATTTCTATTATTATTTGCGAAGCTTGCATGGGAATTTTAATTAAACGTTGTAAAGGTAAAACGGGTTTCAGTTTGCCAACATGCAATTCTTACATAAATCACCCCTTTGCGGATTTTTTTGCACAGCATTGATTTTTATCCTGAGCCAGTTGCAGTATTCTCGAGACAGTAATTTCTATGAGAATATTTGTCTAAAAAAAAAACAAGAATGCATAACGTTAGAACCTCTTTAGCAGATGTGGGAAAAACTTGGTGTGTGCAACAATGTTTGAAAAAAAGTTCATCTGGGGTTAAATTCTGGGCGGGAAGTTTACACAAGTTATGCACACACGTGATTTACAAAGGAGTTGGATGCCGGTAATAGGAGTGCGAATGGGTTATTATAGAACAAAATTCGAAAACTGGGAAAAAATGCTAATCGTTTAAGTTTATAAGTACGTCAACTCGTACCCTTATGTAGTATTTTCGGTAATGCATATTTTAAAAAATGAATTTGACTTACATAAACATTTTCCTTTGCATTTTACAGTGTGCCATGGCAAGGTCAACATGACAATCTCATAGATCGTTTTGATGTACGAGCCCATCTCGATTATATACCACCTGTGCCGAAAACCAATGACAGTGAAACTGAATTATCACAGGAGGAACGTCAATGTAACTACGAACGTTATCGGATATTGGCACAAAATGATTTCCTCAATTTATCCGAAGAGAAATTTCTTCATCAACTATTTTTGGAAGAACAATTTGGAGCTAATGCCCCCTTAGACCCCATGGGTCAGGCCAATCAAACCAAAAAGAAATCACAAAAACCAGGTGCAGCTATTGGTTACTCTTACGATGATTCCACTGACAATACTGTCGGCGGGGTCATTGACACCCAACAACCGTTTGCTCATTTGAAACATGCTGGCGGTGCTACAAGTTCCAAGAAGACTGAAAATGACTCTGAATCAGAGTCGGACTCTGACATTGATATGGATGTTTCCATAGATGTATCCAAATTGGATACGACCCAGGCCCATGAATTGAATGCCTGTGGCCGGAATTATGGTATGTTGAGTAATGATTTTTACTCCTATCTGACCAAGGATGCTGATGAGGCAGATGCCCTGCGTATAGCCAGAGAAGAAGAAAGAGAAAAAATGTTGCTGGGCGGTCGTAAATCAAGAAGAGAGAGGCGTGCTCAAAAGGAAAGACGTTTAGCTCGACGTACATTCAGTCCGCCCAGTTATGCGGCAAAAGAAGACAATACCGGCAAAGATGAAGAGAGTGATTCGCGGTCGCCTTCACCCTCAGATACTACGGAGAAAATTACGTATATCACCTCGTTTGGGGGAGAAGATGAACTGCAACCTCATTCCAAAATTACCATAACTCTTGGAAAGAGTAATACACTTGGCGCTGCTTGTGTGGATGCCAGCACTTCCTCGGCCCATCACACAACCTATGCACAAAAGGTGAAAGAGAACTTGGATAAGTTGAAGAAAATCAATGAGTCATCGACCAAGAAGACTTCGTCGCGTAGCAGAAGTCGAAGTTATACACGAAGTCGTAGTCGTTCTCGCAGCCGATCGCACAAGCGCTCCTATAGAAGTTCACGACGTTCACGCTCCCGGAGCCCATCATATAAGCGGCGTCGTAAGAGTAGCAGGCGAACACGATCTCGATCACGTTCCAAATCGAGATCTAGATCTCTTTCGAAATCACGCAGGCATCATTCGTCTCGCCGCTACCGAAGTCCGTATAGACGATCACGTACACGATCACATTCAAAGTCGAAATCTCGACGTAGACGTTATACATCTCGTTCGTCAAGTCGATCTTCTCATCGCAGTTCAGTGTCGCCGTCACATCGCTCGTCGTCGAGAAGGGGTCGATATAGTCCAAAATATGAAAAACTTAGGAAGAGATCGCTGTCACCAGTTAAGGAAAAATCTCCTGCACCACAGCCATTGGAAAAATCTGTGAAACCAATGGAAAGTAATGTTGATATCATATCAATGAGCACACAACCTCCACCACCACCTCCGCCTATTTTAGACACCGAAGATGCCACAGCATTTAAAACATCCAATGTTCCAGAGGTAACAGTCATAGAACCACCACCACCACCCCTCAAGCGTTATTATGGACGTAAACGTGGAGAATACTCCTCCTCTTCGGACAGTGACTCCGACACGGAAGAGGATTCGAAGGCTGCTAAATCAGCAGAAAACACAGATGTGCAGGAAAATATGGATATGGACACTACGTAAGTGTAAAGTTGAATCCACGTCGTCAAACGAAACGAATTGATTAAGGTTTCCCTGGTAAAAACAAATCTAAAATCCTTTTTCTTTTCTTTTGCAGCTCTGAAAAATCAAATCCTTTGCCATCAACATCAGCTGCCACTGTGGCAACATACAAGGGTAAACTACAAACGGGCAAATACTCCACCACGGCCACATCAGTTAGTAATGCTCCCGAGACCAAAGTCAGTAAGAACCAACAAATAATTGCAATGCTTCACACAACAACAACAACAGAGGACTACAATCTACGTAGTGAAATTAGCGAATCAAAATCTACCACAAAACTGAACATTGACGACGGTGACAAAAAATTGACCAAACGACCCAAACGAAAATTAATTGTTTACATACTCTTGGACTTATTTGGATTTAGACGTATTTTGTTTTGTTGCTTTTCCTCTTGTAATCGGACATTAGTTTGAATTTTCCTTTTCTGAATTAGCTTTGTATAATTGAGCTCGTTTTAATTTGATCAAGTGGCTTCTTGCAGGGTACTTCGTCAAGTGTCTCAGGTGGCAGCACCGCAGCTACAGTTTCCAGTGGTCGTTTGAATTTGCGTGAACGCCTTAAGAAGAAAATGCAGAATTTGCTTAACAAGCAATGTAAGCGACAAGTGTACAGTACACCAACAATTACAAATAATGGATATATATATTCCCGTAGAATTAGTTTTTTACTAAAATATTTGTTTGTTGTTACAGATAAGGCAGATAAAAAAGCTGAAATCGAAAAATCCGAAAGGGAACGCCAAATGCAACAAGAAAGATATGAGGAGATGCGTGAATTGGCCATAAAATTGAGAAGAAGGTAAGGCAAATAAGTGAAAACGGAATTATTTTTAAATTTGAGAATGACAAACTGAATGTTATTGTATACCCAACGCAAATCGGAGCTCCAGTCAATTCATACATTTTTATACACTGCACTACAAAGCGGTAAGGGTACTATGTCTTTGTGCATTTGTTTGTAACATGGAGATGAAGCAAGATAGACCCATAGCTACTTTTGAGGATTTTCATAGAATCACTCTCTGAGTCGATTTATGCATGTCAGTTCGACTATCCATGTATTCTTGCGAACAAAATGCAGGACGCATTTATTATCCGATTGAGATGAAATTTTCCAAACAATATTTGTTTGGCCCAAGGACGAACCCTATTGAAATTGGTGATATTCGGATCAGATTTAGATATAGCTCCCATCTATATCTTCAACCGATTTCGGGTTAATTGTGTACCAAATGACCAATATCAGTCCAAAATTTTGGCACATCCCGCGGAATTAAATCTAGAAGCAAGTACATTAAATTTGGTGAAAATCGGTTCATAAATAGCTATAGCTCCCATATATATGTTCCATCCGCCAAATTTTGTCAAGATCGGTTCAGATTTGGATATAGCTCCCATGTACATCTTCAACCGATTTCGGGTTAATTGTGCAGCAATTAGCCAATATTAGTCCAAATGTCCTGTATTTTGGTATATCCGACAGAATTCAGTCTAAAAGCATGTACTTCAAATTTGGTGAAAATCGGTTCAGATATAGCTATAGCTCCCATAAATATGTTTCATCATTTGTAGTTTTAAGTACCTCACAAGCTTAATATACATTCCACAACAATGATCTTTTGTACCAGATATCAGATACAGCTCCGAAGTAAGTGTATCAAATTTTGTCAAGATCGGTTCAGATTTGGATATAGCTCCCACATAAATCTTCAACCGATTTCGGGTCAATTGTGCACCAAATGGCCAATATCAGTCCAAATTACCTGAATTTTGGCACATCTAACCGAATTCATTTCGGAAGCAAGTATATTGAATTTGGTGAAAATCGGTTCAGATATAGCTATAGCTCAAATAAATGTGTTTTTTTTTTCGATTTGGTGTTTAAGTATCTCACATTTGTCATATGTATGCGACAACAATTATATTTGGTACCAAATATCTTATAGAGCTCGGAAATACCTGTGCCAAATTTTATCGAGAACGGCTAAGATTTGGATATAGCTCCCATATATATCACTAGTCCGATTCCAAATGATGTGAATTCTTTATAGCAATGTTATTTGGTATAAAAGATTAAAATGTCTCTATCAAATTAAGTGAAAATCGATTCAGAATTGGATAAGCCTCCCATAAATTAGTTCCCCCTGAAACCAGACTATAACTGCTCTAAAGCCAAATGTTGATAGGTGGTATGATCTACTTCAAATAAATTCTCTTGTTACAGAAGCTCCACTAAATATGCGATGGGTTGTAGGGTATCATATAGTCGGTCCCGCCCGACTTTTGGCTTTTCCTTACTGATTTAAAATTGTATTGTCTTTGTTTTTCAGGCAACGTGAAATTCGTCACCGTTATGGCACTCCAAATAGCAAAGCTTCTGAAAGTGAAGCATCGGAATATGCTGCAGCCATTGCTAGTGCAAGGGAACAGCGCAGTAAATCCCGCAGTAGCGAAAGATCGCTGCGAAAATCACCACCAACAACGCGACGAACAGAACAAGAACCGAAACGCACTTCCCCTGCAACTAGAAGACGTTCGCGCAGTCGTGAAGGTAGGAGATCAGAAGGTCGCTCTAGCCGACAACCCAAATCACGTTCGCAGTCACGTAATCGACGTAGTAGTTCAAGGCGACGTAGACGAAGTATGTCTCGCTCAAGACGATATCGTGACTCCAGCCAGGAGCGTTCAACACGTTTCGCATCGGAACGGTCTCGATATGATGATCGCCATCGGCGGTCACGTTCACGAAATGATCGTGATCGCGACCGTATCAGAGATAGGACGGAACGGGAAAGAGAACGTGAAAGGGAGAGGGACCGGGATCGGGAACGAGAAAGACAGAGACATGGTAGCGGCAGTGATCGTTACCGTTCCGATCGAGATATGGGTGACATGGGACGCGATCGCTCAGACAGAGATAGATCGAATCGAGGCAACAGGGGGGATCATCAACGCATTGACGATTCCAATCAGCAACGAGCGCAACAAACTCAACAATCTTCATCTACCTCCACTTCAACAACGTCTACCAGCCGTAGTCGCGTTGTTATTTCAGCTCCACCAAAATTGAAGAAATTGGTGGATTATTAAATGCTAACGTTGTTTTCATTTCCTTTCCTTATAATTTCTATTATTTGTTTTCTTCTATTATCGTATTCTTTTAATAATTTCTGCAAACTATTTTCTAAGTACAATATGAAGAAGAAAAAACAGTACGTACGTATGTTACAATCTTTTTACAAAGCCTGAAGAAAAACAAAACAAAATAAAGCAATTTGTTATCGGATTTAATAAATTAGCGTGGCTAAACTTAGCTTGAGCGTAATTAAAAAGAAAAACAATTTTTAATATCTGTTTATAAGGTTAATGAAAATCACCATGAGAACAAATTGTGAGGTTATCAAGCGATTTGAGAGTTCAAATCTATGATTTTTTGTAAATCCTAATAATTACATCAGTGCTAGGTCAGGTGCGAAAAATGGACAATATCGCTCCACTCCATCAAGTACCTCCCCCACAAATGGTGAAAATTTTGAATAATTATAAATCGAATAAAATGTGATGTAAGTGTCCGATCGTTTCATATAACACACGTCACAACTTTTTTATGAACTCAAGGTCTGATACACCGGTCCACTCCTTCTGGTATCTCCCTTACAAAGGGTCAATATTTTGAATATTCGCGAAGCTCCTAAAACGCGAACTTAAGATCCGATTCCATTCAGACTTGGCACATCCCAATATTTCCATCAGCACAAGATCTGTTAAAAAGATGATAGAAATCGGATCAATCCTTCTGGTACCTCCCCCTCAAGAGCTCAAACTTTTGAATAACCAAAACCATCATAAAATCCGAAATAAGCATCGGATTCTTTTCAAATTGCAGACATCACAATATTTTTATTAACCCTAGGACTGGTGTAAATATGGGTACATATAGGTGCACCCCTTCTGGTACCTCTCCCACAAAGGGTCAACATTTTGAGTATTCATGAAGCTCATATAAAGCCAAATCAACATCTGATTCCATTTAGACTTGGTACATCTCAATATTTCCATCTACACAAGATCTGTTATGAAGATGGTAGATATTGGACCATTCCTTTTGGTACCTCCCCAACAAAGGGTCGAAGTTTTGAATATCTCTCTTCAAATTACACACATGCCATTATTTTTACTAACACAAGATCTGCTGGGAAGATAATAGATATCTGATAACCCCTTCTGGTACCTCACACACAAAGGGTCAAAATTTTGAATAACCGAAACGTTTATAAAATCCGAAATAAGCATCAGGTTCTCTTTATATTTCACACATTCCATCATTTTTACTTACATAAGATCTGTTGTAAAGATGGAATATATCGTTCCATTCCTTCTGGTACCTCCCCCACAAAGGGTCAAAATTTTGAATATTCATGAAGCTTATAAAACTCAAAATTAACATCCGATCTCATTCAGACTTGGCGCATTTCAATATTTCTATCAACACAAGATCTGTTATAAAGATGATAGAAATCGGACCGTTCCTTCTGGTACCTCACCCACATAGGGTTTAAGATTTTGAAAAACAAAACGCTCAAAGAAAGCGATATAAGCATCTAACCCTTTTCAAGTTTCACACATTCAAACATTTTTACTTACGCAAAATCTCTTGTGAAGATGACAGATATCTGTCAATCTGTTTTGGTACCTCAACCATAAAGGGTCAAATCTTTCAATACTTATATCTGTCATAATTTGCGAAACAAGTCGACGATTTTTTACAATTTGCTATATCTAAATATTTCTCTTAACCAGAAATCTGATATGAAAAAGTACTTTATGGGAATTTATGATTTCCACAGTTTCCAAAGATTTGCACATATCTCATATAAAGTATAGGACGTAGTCGATATAGTCCAAATCTGGCAGGTTGTAATTTTTTTTAGGTAAGTACGAATTGGTTTTAGGCATGGTACAATGAAGAGAAGGTAGGTCAACTTTGAAAAAATTGCAAGTATAGAGGTCTACCTGTTTGGCTTGTAATGTCAGAATTGCTATTAAAACAATAAAAAAGCAAACAACTTGTTGCATTTATTTTGAATAAATAATTGAAAATCGCGATAACTGAATGAAAGGTCAACACTTCTTTTCAAAATCATGTACTATATGTCTCTAAAGGATTATTTCGCTACAAAACTCTAGATTTTGTCGATGCATGCGTTGAAATGAACATTTTGAAAACACCCGAATTTGAATGTTTTCTGAACAATTTTTTTGTTATTAAAAAGAAAACACATACATAAACAAAAAAATATGACGTATTAGGCCAAGAAAATAAAAAAATTGAAATCATATCATACCTTGATATCATTGTACCATGGTTCTGCCCTACCTTGAATTCATTGTACCATGGATGAACCTACTATTGACTAACGTATATTTTTCGAATTGATTTGTTAAAAATCGATCTATCGATCCCTACTTTCAGACAGCTGATCGTTTTCTCTAATTTGCGTCTCAGCCATTCGTAAATAAAGAACAGTTGGTCATTATTTTGCTTTGCACTGTTTTTCGCAGTCATTCTTCTTTGTCTTACTTCTTCGTCAATTTTGAAACGATTCTAAAGTAGAATGTTGAGAAGTGAGTAGAGTTGTGTCACTTGAACGATAAAGAAATTTCATAAAAAACATTGAAATAATTCCAGCTATACCTCTACTTTTGACAAAAAGAATGAGCACCGCTGTAGTTGGAAAACCTGGACCAGTTGAAGAAGCCATTGTGGCTACGCTTAAGGAAAATTTACAACCTCTCCACTTGGAAGTAGTGAATGAGTCGTACATGCACAATGTGCCGAAGAACGCAGAAACCCATTTTAAAGTACTTGTTGTTTCGGACAAATTCAATGAGTTGCCGCTTATAAAGGTGAGTTGCAAAGCAATTGGATCGACCACAATTAAAAAACAAACCTTTTTACAGCGCCACCGCTTGGTAAACAACATCGTGAAGGAGAAACTGGCTGACCTTTTCCCGCATGCACTCTCAATCGATGCTAAGACCCCCAAACAATGGTCTCCGGATTATAACCTTGAACCAAGTCCCAATTGCCGGGGTGGTTTTGGTAAATAAAAAAAAAAACAAAACGAAATTAGTTCAACAAGTTCCTCCAGGAATTTTATATTAATTATTTAATAGTCAATATAAAAATGTAAATAACAATAAATATTGTTTAAGCTTTCATCAAACGTTTGTTTATAATAGGTACATAATTATTGTCTTTAAAAGTTCTAATGTAGCACTGGCATACCTTCTACACTCATGCGGGCCGATAAGATAACATCATTTATGCCGACACCATCGTAGGCAGCCCCACACAGCGAAATGGGTAACTTATAACGTTGTATGTAGCGTCGTATGTCTTGGACCCGTTGTTTATGGCCCACATTATATTGGGGAATGCATTTCTTTAGGATATGGACACGTGACATTTTCGGTTCTTGTTCTATTCCCAAAATCTGGGAAACTTCTCGTAATGCAATATCGAGTAGATCTTTTTGTGTGGGATTTTGTCCATAGTACTGTTCAAACCACTTTCCACCCATCATAACTGTTATGACGGTGTTCTCCTCCATGTCGAAGATACAGCTATCAAATATAACACCCAATATTGGTCTCTTTTCCAAGGGCGGCACCAAGAAACCAAATGCTGGTTGTTTTAACAAATCTTTGCTGTTGTATTGTAGATTTACCACGGCCACATCAACATAAGGTATGGCCATTAGCTGCCCCGCCAATCCAGGATGTTGATCTTTTACACAAGCTGCCAATTTAAAGCTTGGTATGGAACTGACAACATGTTTCGCCTCCACATCCTGTCCCTTTATGTTCAAACGCACTGAGTTCTCACCAAACACTATTTCCCGGCATTCAGATGTCAAATTGACCTCTACATTTTTTGCAAGCAAATAATCGTTTAGGGTGCGCGGCAAGGTCTCTAGGCCATCATTGACTCTGTACATGCTCCATTTGTTTTTCACTGCCTCCTTAAACATTGTTGGTTGCTTGTCTTGGAACAAGCCCTTTGAAGTACCCGCATTATCCTTCTTCTTATCATTCAATTTACTTAAAAATATGCCTTTCATAACACCACCATATCGTTGTTCCTTGTCGAACAGTTCGTCCATTAGGAAACGAACACTGATTTCCTTGGCATCGCCAGCACAAATGCCACAGATCATGGGACTAATTGCATAGTCCGCCAATTCCTTGCCAAAGCGTCGACTGACAAAATCATAAATTGACTCATCGCCAAATTTAATCTTTTTCGGACCAGACTTCAAATCATTGAACAGTGCCATTGCCAGGGGTTGGCTAAATGGCGGTATAGTTTGCAACACCCCCTTTAAACTGTTCGGTAACATGCACAGTTGACCTTTAGCATAAATCATACGATTTTTAGCAGCAACATGAGACGATGTAACCACTTCGATGGGTAATTGCAGATCTTCAATCATTTCCAAAGTGTTTGCACCAGATATACCTTTGGGTCTTATGGTACGTGGACCAGCTTCAAAAATGAAGCCTCTGTCCTTGTGCTTTTCCGTTTTGATCCATCCTCCAATACGACTGGAAGCTTCAAAAATGGCTGTTGGTTGGCCGAATTTCTTAAGCAGATAGTATGCGGCAGACAGGCCGCTTAAGCCACCACCCAAAACAATGGCCATCGTAAGCTGGCAGAGATTTATTTTCCCAGCACCGACAATAAAGCGTATACTTTTCCAACTTATCCAAAGGTCTTAGGTGTTCAGGAGGACTCTGCTCCAAGTGCGCGCTGGTTGGTTGTTCGTTGCGAGGGTTGGAAACAAAAATGAAAAACGTACCAACGAAACGAATATGAAGGTCACAAAGAAATAGCCGATAAAAAATAAACAGAAAGCAAAGACTCGGGGTACTCTGTTGTTTACGAATGAGTGTAATGCATAACGCCCGGGTACTCTGTTGTTTACGAATGAGACATGAAAAAATTGAACATCTTCACTAAAGAGCGCGGAACTAGTTGCTACTGCAAATGCAATGCAAAAAATTGCTCCACCAAAATTAAAAACGTTCCAGTTGAATCAAATAAGAAACGACAAAGTTTACGAATGAGAATAAGAAAACAAAGAGAGAGAATTGAGATGATGACAGAAATGCAAGGTACGAAAGAAATGGAATGAAGGAAACTGATAACCGTCAGCACATATATCTGCAAATGCAATGTAAGAAATTAAAAACTTTCCAAATGAATCAAATAAGAATTTCCAGACATAATGCCTGATAAAACATAATAAGAAAACAAAGAGGGAGAATTGAGATGATGACAGAAATGGACGGTACGAAAAAATTAAATAAAGGAAACTGATAACCGCAAGAAATGCAATGCAAAAACTTGTACCACAAAAACTAGAAGCGTTCCAAAAGTATCAAATAAGACATAATGCCCAACAAATTATAATAAAAATAACAAAACGACAAAGTTTACGAATGATAATAAGAAAACAAAGAGGGTAAATTGAGATGGTGACAAGAATGAAAGGCACAAAAGAGTATGGAATGAAGAAAACTGTTAGCCGTCAGTACATATATCGACTTCTGGAGATTAAGTTTAAAAAAACGTTTAAAGCGTTGGGCATGCTGTGTTTAATAAAGTTAATAAGTTGTAAATGATTTCAAGATAGTTTATATATTTATTTCGTGGTTTGTGAGTGAAGTAGTGAAATTTAAATTCAATATTGCCTTGCTTTGAACGTTACCGATTTAATTTTGAATTTCAAATTGTCTATGCAATCAATTTAACTATAAGGTGTGTCTGGTTACCCTAAAATTTGTAACAATTGTTACAAATTGTTACTGGAAGTCGTCTGTTAACCCAAAAGTTCTGCAAAAGAGAGCGGTTGGAGAGAGAAATTTTGACAGTTGTTTCAGTGAGAGTTTGCAAATTCTTGCTGGACAAATTTCTTCTTGCAATCACTTGCAACTCTTCTTCTTCTCATTCATCGACATTCAATCAGATGTTTTCTAATGTTTGTTTATTTCTTTTTGTGATTTCAATTTGAAAATATTGTTTTGGAATTAGAAAGACTAATTGTTTTTGGAGAACAACTTTACAAAACGTGAAAAACATAAATATTAATATGTAATAAGAAAGTAAAAGACTATTTCCAACATTTTTAGACAAATGCCATTAGGAACACGTTTAATGGATTCCAGGGAACACATCAAACCTATCTCTATTTTATTGCTTATATTTTTATTTAATTGCTAATTTCCTTTTATTTATAAAACTTGTAAAATTGGTGATCTTCTTTTCTTTTAATTGGTTGGACATATTGGTTTATTTTGACAAATCAGCTGATTAGTTGCAAACTTCTGCAGGAATACCGTCTGTTTACTTTTCGCATTTTCCTTGCAAAAGAGAATAAAACTACCTTACTCTCTCAGAAAGATATTGCTGGACAATTCCTGCAGGAAAAGTAACCAGACACACCTTATTTGTGAAAAAGGAATCCTTAAGCCGAAAAAAGCGCGGCAATTGTAGTTGACAAGAAAAAAAAAAGCGGGAAAAAGTACTTTTTTACTGTGCCAGAGAACGTTACGATGATTTACTGGAGACTGCGTTTGCTAAAAAGGCTAATCGTAAAAAAAGACACCATCTGAGTGATAAATAAAAGTTATCTGCGTATTTCTTGAAAACCTTCGAAATGTACCACGATTTTTTGACACCGCTTGGAAGGAGAATGTAAACACTTCTCTTGGAACACTTCTTTTGGAAGAGTCGTGCATGCCTAAGGTGCCAAAAAAAAACGGAAACCTACTTTAAAGTACTTGTTTTTTCGGACAAATTCAACCAGTATCACCTTAAAAAGGTAAGTTAGGGGTAAAATTGTTTTGACAAATATTATAATATAAATTTTTACAGCGGCGTAGTTCAATTATTAATATATTGAAGGAAGACGTCAACAGTGTACATATGTTACCCTGTATATATCCTGCTTGTTGGGTAAGTTAAAACTTTTGTTATTCATCTGTTTTTAAAATGATTAAATAATTACCATATCAACAATGTTGTGGTAAAATGTTAATTTGCTGTAGCTAATAGAAACGGCCCATTTAAAACACTTTGGGCATGGTACAACAATTTTGAAGATAGGGCATAATTTTTTACTGAGTATTTTTTTTGCATTTCCGATTCGTACTAATTTACGGGATTTTGAATATCGAACAGGATTTTGTAATAATTTATTCAAAACTGGACAAGTGCCCACTACTTCATCAGCGAAAAGTCCGCCTTAACAACTTTTAGATTCGTTCCAACAGCTCGTGTTAGGCCATTTGTTTTGACACAATTTTTATACCCTCAGCCATATGGCAACAGAGGGTATATATCATTTGATATCTTAATATTTCTCTCAACCAATGTTCTGATGTGAATAAAGAATTTATCGTAATATTCTTTTGGTTAAAGGTTAAAATTTCGATTAACAATTATTCGCATAAAATAACAAATGTTCGATTTTCTTTAAGTTTCGCACATCTCAGTATTGTATTAGTATTAGATGATGTGCAACATTTCGGTTCACTATATCTGGTACCTCACGTAGATTTCAACATAAAGTGAAGGAATTAGTGGATATAGTCCAAATCTGGCATGTTGTAATATTTATATTAGACTTAGGCCAACCACGAAATGGACAATATTCGCCCATTCTTTCAAATTTGGTATTTGGATTTCGCAAGTGGTACTAACTCCGATGACAGAATATTTCCTGTACAGATCCACGCCTTCATATAGCACCATATTTCTGTACGTCCCTATATTCGGTATTATGATTATTTTAGCTACATTTTTTAACGGAATTATGTCATACTTGTTATTTGGAGTTCGTAATGGACGCCACTTACACTTTTCACCAGAATTATTTTAAATTCGGAATTTGGAGTTCGCGATGGGTACTGCGTCTCGTATAGCTCCCATATATCTGTGCTTCCCTATATTCGGTATTTTGATAATTTTAGCTACATTTTTACGTAATTATCTTAAACTTGGTATTTACAATTGTCTATACATGTCCACATCTTCGTGTACCTCCCTAAATTCGGTATTTTGACGATTTTATTGACAGTTTTCACCAGAATTATTTCAAATTCGCAATTTGGAGTTCACGGTGGGTGCTATCTCCTATCATAGAACATTTCTTATTCAGGTCTACATCTTCGTATTTCTCCCATAAAACTGGTTCTCCCTATATTCGGTATTTTGACAATTTTAGCCACACTTTCCACCAGAATTATTCGAAATTTGGAGTTCGAGATGGGTACTGCTTTCTATGACAGAAAATTGCTCATACAAACTCACGTTGTTGTATAGCCCCCATATAACGGTACCTCCCGATATTCGATGTTTTGATGAATTTAGCGACATTATTCACCGGAATTGTTTTAAATTTGATATTTTAAGTTCGTTATGGTTTCTACAGCCTATGAGAGAAAATTGTCTGTGCAGGTCCACGTTTCGTATTTGAATATTGTAGTGGCTTACGACAAAAGTTGTCGGTGTTTTTAAGATTTTAAAAGAATTTTAAACGGATTTTATTTTTTTGAAAATTGCCAAATTCGTTCTAAATGGTGGAGCGGATTCAAAGCTTGTTCCGGCCGAACTAACAGCTTTTTTACTTGTATTCTGTTTAAAAATGTTACGTTTACATTAAATGTTTTATTGACAAATGTTATTGTACAGATCTAACAGTACGTTTATATATATGAGGGTTAACCCGCTGGATTTGGATTTAAATTGTCATATCCATTACTTTTACTTCAAATAAATCCTCCCAAAGTAGGTTAACCCTACAAAAAGTTCTAACGTAAACATGGCATAAGTCAAGTTTAAACTATTTTTCTAGGAACGCCTAAAAATATGCTACACAATTTATGTTTTTGTTGAAAAATGTTACGTATACATTAAAAAAGTTACTGCACAGACCTAATATCATATTTAATCTATTTTACTTGAGACGCCTAAAAGTATGCTGCATAATTTGTGTGTTTCCGGTAACGACTTGATTAATGTTAAAACGGCTGTTAATATAAAACGTTTGGATTTTAAGCCTTCTTTCAACAAAATATCTTTAAAATCTAAAAATCTTTCCAACCGGAGGCGATTTTAAGATTTTTAAGACTACACCGGAGAGTATTTAAAAAATTAAATCTTGGTTCTAGATCAACAATATACTTCTTAACTTCGCGGTATTTCACACTATAGCTATACAGCGAATAAATATATTCTCTATGAGAAATGGGCAAGAAACACGTACCAAACAAATGCCTAAACACTTTTTGCATGACTGTTGTGGAGGCAAATGCATAAAAAAGAAAAAGTCAAAAAGTAAATAAATACAAACTTAACCACAATAAAATGTAAGAGGAAGAAAAGAAGAAGGAAATACATGCACACCACACCATGCAACGTTAACCGTCAATTGTCAGACAACGGAAGAAAACTATTGATTGTGGGATCAAAGGAAATGTCAAAGACATCAATTTAACGAAACTCCTTCATAATAAACAAGACACACGCACGCACACACACACACTTGCAGACAAGGTAAAGAGAAAAGCTTTCAACGATTGAGATGACAACGACCTGACGGCCGAAACCGAGCACACCAAGCACAACTAACACGCTCCAGCACTCAGCAAACGTTCGCTAAGCTGTGCCACGACCAAAACTGTGTCAGAAATGTTTTAACTGCTGTCGTGAAAGGTTCGTGAAAAATAATAACGGTCGCGTGTGTGTTCAAGAAGAATATTTGTGTAAAAAATACATATACATACAAAAGTGGAAAAATTGAAAATTTCTTCAAAAGCAAATTGCATGGAAAACCTAAGGAAAAACGA